GGTGTGGTGCCGTGAACACCAAGGTGTCTTTCTGTGTTCCTCGGAGTAGACACTTACCTTGCCTAAGAGCAGAATGTACAGTGCTGGGATGTCTTCCTCACTACAGGAAACCTTTGCCTGTAAACGGTTGTTTCTGTGCCGCTGTGCCAGGGGTGGCCTACAAAGCCGTGAGAGGTGGTGTGTTTTGAGATGCAGCCTGCCATAGTCCCACTGAGGCCCAAGGAGACTTCTGCAGTGCTTGGGGTTAAATGTGTGAGGAAGGGGTTTGCTGGACTGAGACCTGTACTTGGAAATCCCCAGCAAGGATGTGCCTTATACTGTAACGTGGAAATACCTTCTGGAAAAGCAACAGCTTTCCAAGAGTACTTGCTCTGAGGCAGTAGTTGCTCCAGGGAATGCATGAGAAGCTGTTTGGTATTGACAGTGGGCTGCAAACCCGCTGTCGGTTCTTAGTTCTTTTTTTTGTTGTTGTTGTTTTTTTTCCCCGTACTCTGTACTGAATCGGTGACTTTCTTTTGGTTGTATGTCGCAGGCCGAGACTGACTGACACCTAAGCCTTCAAGACTTGTGAATATTCTGCAGCTATAAACTGCAAATTATTGACATGCAAAGCAAGACATGAGCCCCCTCTTCGGGAACAAAAAGTGAGGTCTGTTAAGTACCAAGAAGACCTCAGTTATCTGTTTACAGCGTAAACTGCACCGAGGGGATGAAGACCACCAGCAGCGTGTGCTACTTTGCAAAACGAAATAATTTGCCATCTTGTGTTTTTTATAATGCCTGTATTAATGTAGAAAGATGTAAAAGAAATAAATTAGGAAATATTTTGTTTTGTACTGCCATTCTTATTGTATTTTTATACTTTTTGGCAGCATTAAATATTTTTTTAAATTGACAATATGCTGTTGTGTGCACGTTATGTTAGGGAGAAACCGTTAAGAGCCTGTTTTGTGGAAAAAGAAGCCTTTTGCCTTAAGGTTTCCTGATACCTGTCTTAACTGGAAAATGGCAAAATTATTAGAAAGTGCTTAAAAATATTTCCATTAATGCTAAGTATTGTAGTTTGATTTAGGAGGAACTCTTGCACATTTCTTTTGTAATACACCACTAAGATTATTATTTTATTAATCTGACCAGTTGGTTTGGTAGTCCTTCTTATGTTTGCTATAAAATATGCACAAGATGTTCAGAGTAACTTTGTGAAGGGAAAGTGTTTTGTTGGTGATGCTTTAAAGGGAAGACAGATGTGAAACCTGACCTCTCATGACCCACGGTCCTGTGTAACAGGAGCTCAGGGCCAGGTGCAAAGCGCACAAAGTCAATGGTGTCTGTAATTAAACGGGTTTTGGATTGTGCCATCGCCATGTGTTGTATGTACAGTATTTTCCTTCACGTATCCCACCTTCTGTCAGCGTTCTCCCTGACAAAGTCAGGATGGATTGGAAAGGGGTAAACCGGAGTGTTGCTTAAAGGAGTTCTTCCAACAGGGTCAGCAGTGTTTCCAGCCCTGTGCCTTCTGTAACGGAGCTGACCTCAGTTCTGCACTTGATGTTCTCTGACAGTTTCAGATAAACCTTAACTCACAAAAAACATATACAGTTACTATGACTGTCTGAACTGGCATGTGGTGGGGTTTTATATGTGATTTGCACTGTGCATATTTCTGTAACAGGTTTTTGTAAAAATCATACAGTTACTGAAAGTAAATCGTGGAAGAGGGGGGAAATCTAGGCCAACTAAAGCAAGTTTTGCTAAAATAAGCAGCAGCCTGAAATCTTAGCAGAACTTGGTTTCAAGACCCATGCATGAAAGCAATTATATTGAGTTGTGTTTAACTTGAAGGGGAAGCTGAATCAGGGGAGTAGTTAATGCAATTACTTGAGCTAAAGACAGGCTTGACACCATCCTCAAATAGTCTGAATTGCCATTCTGGTTTGTCCAAATATTTTTGTTTCTTTAGGTGATTAGCATTGTTCTGAGCGTGTGTTGGAGGAGAGAACATTGTGACTTGATTCAGCTTTCATTTTCAAGTTGGTGCAGCTGTGAGACCAGGAGTGTTTATAACAAGAGATGAAGTTCTGCCAAAACCACTGCAATAAACCCTGTTATTGTTTCATACAGGAACAGAGCCCGTTTATATTGCTTGGAATGTCTTTGGATAAGGCTTGCAGCTGTTCATGCCTTTTACCTTGGGCTGTGGTTTAGGTTTTCATTATTTTTCCCCTCTTGGAAGTATGAGTAAGCATGCAGTGCATGACTACTGGAAACATGCATGCGCTTCATTATTTTACCTGCTGCTATTAGAGCTATCATATATGCAACTAGTTTATCTTGTGGGGCACAGAGGGCTGAATAATGCTTGTCAAAATGCTGACTTGCCCTTAGTTTTTAAATGGTTTTCAGCTACTGAGCTGATGGATCAAATTTGATGTCAGGGCAACTCAATGAATCAGCAAAGGGCATCAAGATATAGCAGATCCTAAACCAGGGCTTTGTCAGGTTTGATTGAGGGCTGCCTTGTGACAGAAGTCTTGGCTTACTGGCCCAGGAACTTCTGCTCCGTGCATTTGTTTTACACAAGCTGCAATTCTTGACCACTGTTGGGACAATGTTTTTAAACAGGTGAAGGAAGGGGAGAGGCTGCCTTTGGAGGAAAGGGACAAGTGAATGTCTTAATTGCAGCCTTTAAAGAAATGGGGTTAGAAGAATCAGACTTGTAGATGGCATTTTTTTCCAAACGAAAAAGCTGTGATTTACTGGCTGCCAGTTTTTATTCCATGTTCAAGAGCAATGTTGCAGAGGTGTCTTTATTTTTGGTAGTCCTCTTAACAGCAGGACAAAGCCGCGGCCCTGTTCTGCAGGCAGGCTTCGGTGTGTGCAGAGAGTGGGCTCGCCCTTCCCGGGGCTCTGGAGGCGGGAAGGGCTCTGGCCAGCCAAGGGTAGCCGCTACCCGTCCTGCAGCGGCATCTGGTGGCCGCCTGTGTCCTTGTCTCTCCTCATAAACGTCGAACTGTCCTATACCTTTTCCACAGGGAACAGGAAAGCCTTGAGGATTTTCTCTTTTAGAGAGTACTCCCAGTACCGAGTGCTCTCCTTTTCCCTTCTCGAGGTTTCACTCGGCTGTGCTTCTTGAGGAGGTACTGAACATCTATGGCTCACTTAAGAAAAATACTGTGGAGCAAACGACACCCCGTTCATCGCTTCTGTCTGGTCCTTCAGTCCAAGAGACTTGATCTGCCCCCTGCTCTATATACACCCTGTAGGCACTTTTTAAAGGATACAAGGAATCCTTTAGCCCTTAACAATACTCAGCCCTGTCTTTTTTCTCCTCCACTCCAAGGAATTGCTCTTAGGGCACAGGTATAAAAGTATGAAAAGATTTATCACCCTTATCAAGTCTTTCCAGTTGGTCACTCTAGTTAACATCTATTTTAACGTAGATCCAAAGTTCAGAACTAATAGGAATCGGTGTGCAGGACTGGAATGCAGTCAGCTATACACCCATGAGGCTGGAAATTAGGGATGAGAGGGGAAGAAGAGGGAGAAGAAAAATAGAGCCTGAGAGTCAGTCTTCACCTGTCCAGCTCGGAGCCCACCTTGAACCTCGCCTCAGACCAGTGGCCGATGCTGGTGCTTGGCGAGAGCTCCTGCAGTGCAGGACACTGGTGACCTGGAGTTTCTGTGTGACGGACAATTACACATCCATTGCTTTCTGCACGGAAGCTGCTGTCACACAGCAGCTGGCCTGTGCCTCCCAGCACAAGTGTTGGGAATAAAGAGGGAAGTGACTGTGCTCCTTTCTCCCTTCTGCCTCACGGCAATTTATGCACTTGGCTCAGTTTGAATGTGGTTAGTTTTTCCAACTAGTTTTAGACTTACCAGACTTGCCTTGTACTACACATGGCCTTTTGTCTGCATTCCTGGACTGCTTCTGCATTTTGACTTGCCAGCTTATTAGTCTGGATACCTGTGGGAACTCCTAAAAATATATTTTGGTTATATATTTTCAATACTTTTCACAATGCTTTTCAACGCTAAATCATGGATGTGAGATGGTCAGTTCAAGAGTTGCTTTTAAATAAGCTGATGTGACCAAGCACTTCAAAAAGATCAATATCGAACATATAACCTAATACAACAAAACAAGTACCATGAAAAACATCAAACACGTGAATTGCACATCACACAACCGCTGTCTCACACTAAGCTTATAAAACACACAGATACCTGCTCTCAGGGCACTGTTATCCAATTACTTTATGTCTCAGAGCACTGTATTCATGTTCAAATCAGTCTAAGAAGGCTCATCGACCTAGAAAGCTGTAGTTTTAGCATCCCAGCAGCCCCTGGAAGTGCAAGAGAAGCCTGGAAAAGGGAAGGCTCAGGCGTGACCTACTTGCGGCCTTCCAGTACTCAAAGAGAGCCCACAAGAAAGATGGAGAGGGATTTTTCACAAGGGCATGTAGTGACAGGACAAGAGGGAATGGCCTTAAACTGAGAGTAGGTTTAGATTAGATATTAGGATATTAGATATTACGAAGAAATTACCGTGAGGGTGATGAGGCACTGGAACAGGTTACCCAGAGAAGTTATGGATGTCCCATCCCTGGAAGGCCAGGTTGGATGGGGCTTTGAGCAACCTGGTCTAGTGACCAAGACGGGGGGTTTGGAACTAGATGATATTTAAGATTCCTTCCAACCCAAGCCATTCTCTGTTTCTAAGTAGATCACAAAAGCCAGAACAGCCTTTTATACTGCTTGCAGTCTCCCCAGCTGAATCTACCGCAACAGCACTGGGAAAAGAAGGCAAAACCAGATCACTTCTGACCTTCACTCACATCACCAGGAAGTTTTGAAAAAAAGATCCCCAGTTGACATGGAAGAGAAGGGTTTTATCTTCATAAGAAAATCTATGCCTACACATCACTCTCAGGTTCTCAGCTGACTTAAGGAGCACCACAGGCTTGTCCTTGGCAATAACACTTCACTAAAGAAAAAGGTTTCTTAAAAAATATTTTATTAGAAAAAACTTTCAACCAAAGTTACTCAATAAACAACTGTACAAAACGTATTTCTTTGGTCAATTTGTGAAAGTTACCTTAATTTCTTCAGCTACCCACACACGCAAAAGGAATTTTTCTTAAATAAAGCATTTATGCAGACAACAAAGCAAGCTGCTGTTGCTTGGCAATTGCTATGTAATCACCACCTCAAGGATGTCTGTGACCATGCACGTGACTCACAGGAGAATTCAGAATTGATCAGAAGAGTGCAGGTGGAAGACCGTTGCCAAAAAGTAAGCGCCAAGAACTTGGTATCTTCCATTGAGAAGAAGAATCTGTGGAATTGTTGCTCTGCAACAAAACCAGAATAATTCTTTAAGTACTAATGATGTAATTCTATTTCTGGCACAGGTATTAAAATAACCAGCAGCAGTACAAGTGTCAGTGTCATGGTGGGTTGCTTTAGTGAAGGGCACTGAAGATAGAACTTGATCAAACCCCCACCCAATTTTTCCCTGTGCCTGTCAAACAAAAGAACTGGTGTTCAGGTTTGGTTTTTCAGATGGGGAGATTCCCAGCGAGATTGTAATCAAAATATATATTTAATTTGGTGTATCCTTGATGACCAAGAGCCAAAATGAACCCAGCCCAAACATATTTAACTTTTCTAAAATTCATCTGAATAACATTTTTGAAGTTCTGTACTGAGGAAAAATGAAAACAATGTATATAAAATATGAAAGCAAGAACTCTAGGTCAAACAGCACTTACTTCACTTTTAACCAGCTGGAGCCATTCATTAAGATAGTTAACAAGAACAAATGCATCAGGAATGTTGTCCCCTTCTGAGCAAAATTTCAGAAGAACTGCCATTTGAATTCCCTTTGAGCAGCTGTAACAAAAATGAGCAGGCATTTATATTTCTTTTTTAGATTCAGAACAATATTTATGTATAACAAGGAACAACAACCTGCATATGGCTTGTTAAAAAACAAATCCAAAAAGTAAAAATGTATGCATATATAGACAGATTTTTTTTCCTCCAGACTTCCTTGACTGCGTTTTCACATTTCATGCCCTTTTTCTTAGTCTTGAATTTGTTCTTTAACTTGCAAGGCAGGAATTCTACGTCTTGCAAGAGTACTCAGTGCCTCTTTTACATACTTAGTTTGCATCTTTGCGCTGGTGGGGTGTTTATACAGATAGAATCACTCCTTACCTGTCTGTGTATTTTAAACTAGCAGTTTTGCAGGCTGCATATCACTACATTACTCAAAATACTCTCATTTTTTCATTAATATATTAAGATTGTTATTTTTGATTTTTTTTTCCCCCTTAAGTCCTGGCAGGTCTTTTCTTTTACATTTGTATATTGTTTCCATACTGAGGTCATTACATAGGTAAGCATGGTATTAGTAACTCTGCTGCTGTTGGATGCAACAGTGTGGACAGATGTCAAAAATAATAATTAAAAATAAAAGTCAATTTTCCACCTGACCCTTACAAAACAAATATCTTTTGCAAAACTACACAGTGCCATAGTGAGTATTAATATCCAAAATATAAAAACTCAAGACATGCTTTCAGCACAATTTCTGATGCACATACCTTATAAGAAAACCCTTTAATCTAATTGTTTGCTGGCCCTGAAATCTTAACTTATTCTTAGTGCTCAGAATTGTTTGTGATTTTGGTTTGGTTTTTTTTTTTATTTCAACTGATGATGGAACCGTTTGTCACAGGAAACCGTTTTAGTTAAAGTATCACAGGTTCAGGAATTCTGCTATTAACAAATTATGGTTTATAAAATCAGATACCAGATTAATTGTGAATTTAACTGTAAAGCTGATTCCCTTATATTTTTATCATATTCTAACTTAGATGACGCAGAATTCCCATTTTTCCCCCCTCCTAATTATGGGCTTGACCTGGAAAAAGTTCTATAAAATCCTGTTCTATGAAAAGAGGAACTTTTCCTGTAACACACCAGTTTAAAAGATAATTTTGCCCAAGTACTAAAAATAAGACTACTGATATCGTTCTGTGCTTATCTTTAGACAACTCACCTCTCGGTAAACAACAGTTTTGTGATGCCACCTCCAGGAATATGCAGAACTTTGTCTGTATCACTTATTCCAGGGTAAGCCGCTACTTTTTCCATTTCTTTCCAGTTTAGCTCCTGCATAAGGCCTCCAACTGCTTTCTCAAGATCAGGTGTAAGTAGGTAGCGCAGTGGTGTCCTAGAAACAAATCAAGAATACGTTGTCTTTCAAGGAAAGACATTACCAAAGTTGTGGCAGACAGAAGGTGCAAGCATTGAGGACCTCACACTTGCAGAATTCCTCTGACATTCCCTCCCTCCTCAAATCAAAGTTAGAAGGTAAGTCTGTGGTCTCAAAACAGTACAAACTACTCTCTGCCACAAATAGAACTAAGGTGGTACCCACTTTTTAGGGGCTCAAATAACTGGCAAGTACCAAATACACAAGCGCATACACAGGAGAACTGCTTATGGTTGTTAAAATTATTTACAAATAAAATGTGCTTTTTCTTCCTTCAGATAGGAGGTGATTAATTTCAAGTCTGGGTAAACTTGGACTTCACCATGATATAGTATTTTTAATAAGCTCACACTAGTAAATCTGTGATAAGGGAGTTATCCTGTGGTGCTGAGGGAAGTGAGGGGGGTTAAATCACCACAACGTATGACTCAGACCTCATCAAATAACCATCAGTCCCTCTCATTTCATTCCATGTTAGCTGGCCATCCTGCAATTGTATGCAACTACCACTACTTCTGGGACGTGCACAACAGACCTAAACCTCCCTTAAGGCCCTACACATTTATACAGCCTGAGGATAACAACTGGTCTTTTGCAAAAATGCTAATTTTATTTGTCTTCTGTTAAGTCACCAGTTATGATGCCCTCGATAAGCGAGAAACGCTTGGGTTTTAAATGGGTAATATCTAAAAAAATACATACAGTCTGTTGCTTCCCAACAAATAATAACTGATTACTTCCTACTAAAAAAAAATAAAATGACAACTTACTGTATTAAAGAAAACCTTCAAAACGCAGAATGATGATGAAGAGGTAAGAAACTAACCAATACTATAATCAACTGTTAAAAATCTAATTTGTGACCTGTATGTCAGCAGTTGATGCCTGACACTGCTTGCAGCCACAAGAAGTTAGAACTGAGGCTCTGCTGCCTGACAGCGCAGGCCAAGTGCAATTTGCTTACAGCTTGTTATTTGATCAGTAATGCTGACAGTAGTAACTAACAGAGACCTGCATAAAATAATCCTATATAACATCAAATTTTAATAGTATACTAAGCATTTAATGACCTATGTACACAGCCAAGCAAAAGCACTGTGCCAAAAGTACTCAGCAGAGGGAAACATGTCAGTCCAAAAGAACAGAAACATCCATTAGGTCTTTTAAAAACACAGACATACCCCAGGAGTTGCTCATCGTCGCGCTGGTACGCGTGGCTGCTCGACAGAACGACGACTCTGGCACATCTGCTGCCTTTCACCCAGGAAAGCAGGGCTTCACAGAATGGCCTGTACTTGTTCTTTATGCAAAGACACAGGAAAAAAAAAGTGGAAAATGTAATATAAGGTGTTACATTTAACATTTAGCAGTGATGTAAATTCTTCTTCATATCCACTTAGTCTTCAGTCCCAGATATACTTTTAAAAAGCAGAGCACTGTCCTGGTTGTTCACTTCATCAAAACTACACGAAGAATGACAAAAATTATCATTTAGACCACGTTAACAACATCAGTGCCACCTGTTTTGTGTGCCATTAATACCAATGGAAAAAGCTATAGAGTAAGATGGGGTGGCAGGATCACAGAGTATTTTAGCACAGTTTCAACGGCTAAAAAAACTGCACCACAAAATATTTTTCTGGCATGGCATTCTGCTTATTTTAAATAGCAGCCACTGTCCAGTTAATGAGTAATTCTAAATTCTTCATTTTTTACACAATGAATGCAGTTTAAATTAATATAGAACGCTATGAAATAATTAGTTGGCGTGACACAAAAAAATTCAGCTATTACAAAGAAGACACAAAACCAATAAATGTAACACCCCAGACAAACCCCAGATAATTTTGTATTTTCAAGACTGTTAATAACTAAGAAGATATTTATACTAAAATCTTCCACCACACATACAGGCTGTCGTGGGGCTTGGAAAAACAAAACAAAAGCTCAGCTGTCACTGAATGCAGAGATCAGTAAAATCATATCAACTGCAGAAGTTGTTATAGCATGAAGTAGAAAAATAATTTTGTTAGGTCACTTGAACTGCTTGCCAGCAGAACTATTAAAACCAAATAGTGAAGTAAGAACAATCAATGAACATACTTACCTTTATGAAAGGTGATCTGATCTGCAGGACTACAAGTTTCTTTGAAGGTACGGAATACACTACAAGAAGAAATAATTAGGTCTTGTTAAGAAGAAACTGAGAAAGAGATCTGGGTTTAGAAATATCAAGATTTATCCAATTTACAAACCTCAGGATAGTAAACCTTTCAGCTATCAATTCACATGGGAAAGTGTGACAATATACACAGTGTTAAAAATACGTATTTTTGTGCAATGTCTTCATTGGTCTTTATTTAACTTGTACTAAATTTAAAGGATTAAATGAAGAAAAATATATGAAGATCTGCCACTGGTAATGACTCAATCGATTTTGCAGCTTTGCAAAGATTGACATATTATCCTTAGATTTCTGTGATTTAAGAGGATAAAAAAATTAAATACAATGATCAATGTAGGGAAAGAAACTACGTATTTGTAGGGGGGAGAGGGAAAAACATTGCATAGGGAAAAAGGCAAATGTAGGTAGGAAGAAAGGAAGGAGAGCAGACAAATATCCTTCTACACCAGAAATTCAGTTTGCATCCAAACAGTTTATTTTAAGTATGTGCAGAGTTGATGTTACTTTGGATTAACACCACAAAAAGTTTTGGCTGCACTGCAATAATGTTGAAATTCAATATTTCTTACTAGTTCCACATGTCAAATTGGTTTTCCAAAATAACAACAGGTACAGTCTCCTCTGTGAAAAGTAAATACGTTCTTACCTGTAGGTTACTGCGGTTGTTATTACTGACCTTAATTTAAGTACATCAGCAAAGTGTAACAATAACAAAAAAAAAGAAAACGTGATGTTCTTGCACCTTAAGCACATTGTAAATACCTTCAGCATTCAATACCCACCTTCAGCATTTATACTCAGCTCCGTTGAGTTTTCCTCTGCTGTTGCATATGGGTTATTTCCAACCATTGGCACCAGGCAATCAGTGTAGAAGTAACCAACTTTAGTCATGTCAAGAGTGGAAATCACCAGATCTACTGCCAGCTGACCAACATTTCCCACGGACACTGCTGGCTGAAGTAACAGAATTGTACCAAATTACAGTGTGTTTTACAGATGATACAAGGTGCTCTTCAAACAGTGAAAGTTAAAATTGCTTCAATTCTGGTCAAACGTGATTTCTAAAAGCAGCTTCATCCTCTGACGAAGGTGACATTTCTTAGCAGATTATCAATACAGAATTTGGTCCCTGTCCCACAAAAAAACCCCTAGCCACTTCTGCGAATAATCCTGTCTTGCTGTAAACTTAAACATAGGCTTGAAAACTTACCCCCTCCCCTCCTTTTTTGGGCAGAGAGTACATAAAAGCCACTGAAGAAACTGATGTGAGACTTGCAAACCTCATGTGACACCCAATGGTAACGCTGATGTTATATATTAAACCTCTAAATCTCAGATTGACCCATAGACAAGAGTAGGTAATTTTTCATTTTTTAAGGATGAAAATGCTAAGGGTCCCCTTGGATTAATTTCACAGGCAGTGCCGTTATCACCAACTGGGGCAGATATTGATCTAATATATTGACCCAATGCAACGGCACACAAAGAGAAATTCAAGAGTTTGTGTCCTCCCGAAGAAACTATTACAGGAAGACAACATTAAAACTTTCAGTTTCTTTACTCTAATTTATAAGTAAATCTACGAATTGCTGCTGCTGCCCGTCGCGGAGAGACACCGAATTTGATGCTGACAGAAGGTGAAGGAGGACGCGACAGCACTTTGCGTGTCGCTGCACACCGGCTGGTATCCAAATCCCTGCTACTCCCACACGAAGAAAACAGCAGTGATGCATTTCCTGCCGCTCGTCAGCTGACCGGGAATGACTTCCCGCGCAGCCTGCAGAGTCATCCCAGGCTGTGCAGCCCTGGGTGGGAAGCGATGAGGTTACCTTTAACTAACCCAGGAAAGGGAGAGAAATGATGTAGGCAGGAGAAATGATGGGTTTTGCCCCATCGCAGCCTGTGCTGGAGCTCTCGCTTCACAGAGACATGGTCACCTCGGGTACCATTACCTGAGATCGACCTCATCAGGGGATAAAAACACCTCCTATGACAATCCTAATCCCAGTTTTAAATATAGCAGAAATGAGGATTTTTTTACATTGGAAACATTTATATATCGTACCTAAATGAAAAAAACCCACAACCTTTTATTGCAGTGGCCACCCACGGGTGCTACAAATCTTGCAAAATCACATAGGGCATATTAATTTTTAGCGCAGTGGCATATAGCTATTGCTCTAAAAATTGTATATAGCTATTGCAGCTCGGCACGTAACATCTTGACAGGAGCTAAAACCCGGGGTTCTGCGGAGGGAGAAGCTGGCGGAAACGGAAGGGACCGCGCCAATCTCTGCTGGAGACAGCCCTGGGAAGGCGCCCTCCAAACCCTCCTTTGTTCGGCACAACGCCCCACAGATTACACACACCGCTTGCCCAGAGCCTTCTCCGCTTACCCCGCAGCCAAGTACCCAGGGATGAGCCCCGGGCAGGGCAGGGAGAGACCCGAGCCCCTCCTGTCTCGCCTCACAGGAGTGGAGCCCTCAGCGCCGGGACCTGGGGCAGCCGCCCCTCAGACCCATCGAGGGCGGGGGCGGAGCAGAAACGCGACTCACCATGAGCAGAGTGAAGCCTTTAAAATCGGAGGCGGCGGAACCCCCGCCGCGGTCGCAAGGAACGAACATGCCGGCCGGGAAGAGCGGAGGGAAGGAAGGAAGCGGGGCCCGGACGCCGTGCCCGCGTGTCCCCGCCAGGGGGCGGTGGCGGCGCTGCCCGCGCCCCTTGGAAGGCGGTTGGCGCTGCTTACCCTGCCGGCTCCGCCATGTCGCTGCCGCCGGAGAAAGCCTCGGAGCTGAAGCAGATCATCCACCAGCAGCTGCTCAAGGTGGGGCTGGCTCTGCGGTGCGGCGCCGGAGAGACTTCCCTTGTGCCCCGGGGGGCCGTGCCGGCTCCCGAGCCGGCGGCGCGGAGCCCCGCGCTGTCACCCGCCCTGTGTGGCGGCAGCGCCCGCTGAGGCGGCGGCGGGACGCGCTCGCTTTGTTTTCCCAACTTCGGTCTCTGCAGGTGGTTTCCAGGCACCTTTATGCCATTTTCTTGTTGCTTTTTTTTTTGAGCGAGGGTCTTGACGGGGAAAAAAATACCGATGCTGTAACTTATCTATCGCTTGTTGGTACAGTGGTGAATTTCCTCACCTGTCGTGCGGCAGAACGGGGTACTTGGAGCGAGTCCAGAGAAGGGCCACCAGGTTGATTGGAAGGGTGGAGTAACTCTCCTGCGAGGAAAGACTAAGAGAATTCGGATTGTTCAGCCTGGAGAAGAGAAGGCTCAGGGGAGACCTTATAGTAGCCTTCCAGGACCTGAAGGGAGCCTACAAAAAAGATGGAGAGGGACTATTTACAAGGGTATGTAGTGACAGGACAAGGGATAATAGATTCAAACTGAAAGAAAGTGGCTTTAGATTAGGTATTAGGAAGAAATTCTGCACCGTGAGGGTAGATGAGGCACTGGAACAGGTTTCCCAGAGAAGTCGTGGATGCCCCATCCCTGGAAGTGTTTAAGGCCGGTTCAGTGGGGCTCTAAGCAATCTGGTGTCCCTGTCCGTGGCAGGGGGGAATTAGAAGTAGACGATCTTTAAGGTCCCTTCCAACCCAAGTCATTCTGTGATTGTATTTCAGGTCGCAGCAGCTGTGTCCTTAACATCCTTCCTGTGTGAGAGACAGGTTTATAGATCCATGTAACTTACACAGCTCAGATGTAGGGCGGACATTCTCAGACTTCCCTTTGAGTGTAGGGGAAGTGTGCAAGGGAGATTTACTACTTTCATACCTTACCTGCAAGTATATAGAAGTGTATTTTTTGCCCTCAAAAAATAAGAAACTATTATACTAAGATTGAATTATGACGGAGATGAGAAATTGGAACAACGACCATTTTATAATGGATGGATTTGCAGACCATTTTGTAAGGAAGGAAGTTCAGTGCAAAGGATGCTGTCAAAGAGAAGTGAAAATGCTCAGGTTGGGTATGCTTGTGATTTTTTTTACCTGAAGGGCTGTTTTTGTAACACAGTGGTTCATTTGGTTAGTTCTGAAAAGAACAATATTTTGGTGTAGTTTTTCTCTGTTTCCAGGAGAATTCTTACAGACTTAACTCTTAAGTCATAGCCACTACCATGTAAAGAGCTTGTATTTGTAACGTACAGTGTATTTTCTTTCAGATGGATGTCCATGGGAGGATACGAGAAGTTCTAGCTGAGACTATACGGGAAGAGCTCGCACCTGAGCATCAGCAGCTATCCACAGAAGATCTGATAAAAGCCTTAAGACAACGAGGAATCATTGATGATGTTATGAAGGAACTTAAATTTGTAACTGTAAGTAGCTTTTGAAGAGTGAAAGTATTTTTGCTTATTCCTCTTACTGACGTAGTGGAAATCTGCGACTTCTGAAGGTTTTTAATGGCTTTACTGCTTTGTGACATAATAGTAGCAGGAAAGCTTAATGCATATGCTGAAACTGGTTTAATGATAATACTGCATTGAAAATATTTGTTCAGTTTCGTTATACCTCAAGTACTAGAAGGGAGCATACTTAAGGAATGGCATTCAGCTGAAATGGAGGATTCTTTAATTTTTAGAAGACTGTGGTAAGAGCACTGTTGCATCCCTTGACTCCTTAAAAAGTCTTAATTGTAATTCCAGGATGTGAATGAAAAGGAGAGGACTTCAGCTCCAAAACCATCAACACATTTTGTTGACAGAGAACCACCAGTTCTGAAAAAAAGTATGTTTCTTGTTTATTTAAATGTTTGGATCATAGTTTTGGGAGGAATTTGAAGTCTGTGATTTTTGCACTCTGAATTAGTAATCCAATAGGAACTGGCATAAAGGTGGATGTTTGCCCTGCTTATCCACAGGAAGTAAATTCATGTAAGCAGCAGCAATCAGTGTTGCATTAAATGTGACTTTTTCATTATTTAATTTATTTTATGTTAAGATAACTTCAATACATTTTAAAAACATTGTCTCCTCAGCACTTGTTTCAAAAAAGTTTCTTTTGTTTCCTGGTCTCCTGTTAGTTACCCGATACTTAACAGTTTAAGCTTTCTGAGATCTGTTTGTAGTCTCTTCATTTTTATCGCTACGCTTTACAGCAAACATTGACCCAACACGAAGGTATCTTTACCTTCAGGTTTTGGGTGGAAAGGCTTTTCTGGAACATCTTCAGGAACCAGAGCCTCTGCCTGGCCAAATCTGTTCCACCTTCACTCTGTGTTTACATTTTCGAAACCAACGCTTCCGTTCTAAACCTGTACCCTGTGCCTGTGAGCCAGATTTTCAGGATGGTTTCTTACTTGAAGTACACAAGGAAAGCCTAGGTAAGGAATATTATGAGTTTAAAGCTGATGCTGTTGGGTTTTTTTCTGACTTAAGAGTTATTGTGTTTGATGTTATTTAGTGGATTTTCTTCCCGTTTTTTATCGTGTTTTTCTAAGGAAACTGATTATTGTATTGGGTTATGCCAGTTGTGGATCTTTCTCTGCTCTTGCCTCTTTTCCTTCTCTTCTGCTCTAAAATAACTTGAATTTGACCAACTTTATCCATAATTGACAGTGAGGTGATAGTGTCACAGATGTAAGAGATACTAAGGTGGCTGTGGTTTTTGTGAACTTTGTGCTGAAGAGTGAAGAAGAAAAATATAAGTTTGTTGACACATGGAAGGAAAAGCTTCAGTGTGAGTTCAGTTTGCCTACCAGCTGGCAGACACCTGCAGAAGAGTCAGTCATCCATAGCCTGTATTATTGTTCTTCTCTTGGTACCCAGGGAACATGAAATGAGCTAAGTAGGTTGTGAAAAGATTTCTGGATGTTTTCTGAATCCTGTAGAACTGTACGGTGCCTTATGGAATATCATGGAACAGAGAGAAAGCCAGAGTTATTGCAGTTGAGCTTGGAGAAGACAGTAAATTCAACGAAAATCAGATTTAGTTAATTCTGCTACTCACGGAGCAGTTCATATCACAGAGTCAAACTTAACTAGAGAGCAAGTTTCTCCTAAATACTAATATTTATTAAGTTGACATGACACTCAAAGAATATTTTTCAGTTGATTTTACTTAAAGGTGCTTTAATAGTCTTTATTTTCTTAAATGCTAATTCTGTTTTAATTTTTTTGTGTAGATGAACTGGTACATTGGAATACTCAACTACAAGAACCTTTTTATCTCCTCTGTAAATTCACTGTGATCTTTCTGTATTTCTGTCCTAAGCTTGGTTTGGTTTTAAGATGGGATCATTGCTTACATGTCTGGACTCAAGATTTTTCTTTATATTCATTGCATAAATTGCATTTTATTGCCTTTTTTTTTTAATTTTGAGGATTTAATTTGGGATTATAATATTTTTGCGGTCTTATTTTGGTTTAATAATGGCAGGTGATGGAAGTAAAATGGTGGATGCAACTACTATGTTATCTATATGTGATCCAGTGCACATGGTTCTGATCAAAACAGACACATTTGGTGAGACCACACTAGTAGCATCCTATTTCTTGGAATGGCGATCTGTTTTGGCTGCAGAGAACGGCATAACAAATATTGCTGTTGAACTCCTGGGTGTAGGTAAGGGTAAATAATTAAACATGATCACTGAAAATCTTGGGTACTGAGCTTGGTTGTAAGCTTAAAGCAATATTTTTTTATCTGGTTCAATTTCAGTTTAATTCGTAAGTATGACTATATAGTATCTTTAGAAAATGTCTAGAAAATTTAATAGTCAGGGTTTTTTGTTACCAAGCTGCTAAAAATGAATATTCCAGATCCTGTGTAATGTTGGTCCCAATGTCTTGGAACTCGCACTGCTTATTATCTGCACAATCTGGATCAGGTTTCAGAAACAAACCAGCCAAACAAAAAAGCAGTTCATCTTCAGAAATATATATCTGACTGGTGCACTGCAGAGTAAAATCTGGCTTGTGTGCCTTTCATAGAAAACTAGCAAGTTCTAGAGAAAGGGATCTCTGCTCTGATCCCACTTATTCCTATTGCTGAAAACATATTTTCTGATGGAAGGGTTGAATGGCTTTGATAAGGTGCTTAGCAGTTAATATACATGTGTATTTTTGTGTATCACGTGTCCCCGCTCCCCTTTTCAGGAGTTCCAACTTAAGTTTTTAGGATATTATGATTTAGTGAATAAAGAGTAGATCTTCCGTCACTTCCTAAGGGGTAGCTGTCCCATAGTTTACTAACAGCTACTGAGTCATTTGACTACTCTTTATCCCACTTTCTCTTCCTCTTAGGTAGTTGAGCAGTTCTTGATAGTTTCAAAAGAGATTGAATTATACCTTAAAAATATTCTGAAGATGGGATATGCTATCTAAATTATTCCTGATTGTTATTGCTGTTCCCTGCATTCTTTTTAGAGAGCATTTGATTTGGTGCAGTGTTTTATCCAAACTATACAAATCTACTAAGTTTATTTGCTACTATGTTTGTTAGCTTCTCCTATCAGGAAAGGCTGAGAGAATTGGGATTGTTCAGCCTGGAGGAGCAGAAGGCTTGGGGGACCTATAGTAGCTTTCCAGTACCTGAAGGGAGCCTACAAGAAAGTTGGAGAGAGACTTTTTAGAAGAGCATGGAGTGACAGGGAAAGGGGAAATGGATTCAAACTGAGAGTGGCTTTAGATTAGATATTAGGAAAAAATTCTTTACTGTGAGGCTGGTGAGGCACTGGAACAGGTTGCCCAGAGAAGCTGTGGATGCCCCATCCCTGGAAGTGTTCAAGGCCAGGTTGAATGGAGCTTCGAGCATCCTGGGCTAGTGGAAGGTGTCCCTGCCCACAGCAGGGGAGTTGGAACTGGATAATCTTCCTTCCAACCCAGGTTCTTCCATCCAACCCAGGCCATTCTGTGATATTTGTTTTATAATGATTTGGAAATGCATAGCACATAATGGAGCAAGTTAAATCTGTTTCTTATTAGCATTTTTTGAAGTAGTAAAGCATCAATGCAGTAAATCCAGTGCTTTTTCTCCTCTTCTAAAGTCTTGTCATTGTACAAAATGCATCAAGAACATCAAAGCGTGCTGCCATTTCGGATAAATAGATAAACTGTTATGTGAGGCTTCTATTGCTTGTATTGCCTATAATCCCATCTGTAATCCAGTTTGTAATGCTTCTCATTGTTCATATAATTCTAAATTTTCAGCATTAGGCAAAAACATTAAGTTTGGGGGGATTTCTGGTTCATTTGTTTGTTGTTTTGGGGAGGTTTTTTATGTTGAATAATCTCTTGGTATGACAGTTGGGGTCCTTTATAATGAACTGTATCTTGGGGAAGATGAATTTGACTTATTTCCAGCTACTTAAATTTGAGCTGCCTGAGTAATCAGTAGGAATAGGTATGTTAACAGTGTGTGTTACTCTCCAATTTGGTTTTAGATGCCTGTTCTAAACATTTCTAGAACACCCTTTGTGTTATACATCCCAGTACTGGCTGCAAATAGGGCCTTAGATAATTATCTTGGATCTATACATCTGTGCTTTTTTTTATCAGATTATGCTCTCATACAGCCTCATTTGAGTTTGAAATTTAAATAAAGATTCTCATTTTGCCCATATTGAAAGAAGTTTAATCACTTTTTGTGATTATATGTCTAACATTTATTTTAGTTGTTTGCCCCTGCCGGGTTGAAATAATCTAAGTAAATTGAATATGAGAGAACTGATGAAAATTTATTTTTTGGTTCAAAGGTACAGAATCAAGTGTTTCTGTTGGTGTTTTAAACATCAGACTGGAAATGTATCCACAGCTAAATAAGATGCTGTCTTCAGAAATAACAAGTACTCAAGTAAGTAAGTTCTGGGAGGGCTAACTTATTCTTTTTTGGGGGAGGAGGGGAAGCTCAGTATAGAATTATAGATGCTGAATGCTGTTGATTTTTTTATTATTTGATACTTTTTTCCCTGTTAAATTTAAATATAATTACTTTTTTTAAACTACTTTGTCTATACTGAACATTATTCAAAATATTGCTTTTGTAGTTTTTCTAATTACTTGTATCAAAACTAAGGAGAAAAAATAAAGATGCAATATACCTAATTTTCTTCAGGTAGTATGTTTCTTGCTCCCTTTCCCATGTGAAACAATAATTTCAAGTCAGCTATTCTGCTTGGAAAACCCATAAATGTTGGTCTGAAGATGCATGCAGATATTCTTCTGCACAACAAAATCTGAGCAATCCCTCTGTACAGAAGCACATCACTTGAGATGAACACTACTTCAGTCAAGCTTAATATAGGAGCCTACAAACAAGAAATGTAACTTAAGGTTTTTGTGAATTGGATTTCCATTTAAAAATATGCAGAATTTGCATGGCGCACTTAAAATATTAAGCTTTATTTTACATATGCCAGAGGTAGTGTTAATGTACTTATTGATTATGGGTTGGGGATTTTTTTTCCTGTTTGGAATTAGTATGTGTAGGTTTGGTTTTGTTTTTCTTACCTGCAGTTCACTTTGGAACGTCAGAAAACAGCAGAAAAAGAACGTTTATTTCTTGTATATGCTAAGCAATGGTGGAGAGAATACCTGCAGATTAGGCCTACACACAACGTAAGGCTAGTAAAGATTTTTGCACAGGTTTGTAAATTTTACAAATAGACCACTCCTTTCTGTAAGTTATCCTTTTTTATTTTATTTTGAGCTTTACGTGTATGTAGAATCTGAATAGATTTATGATATGGTTACATTCACTACAGAACTACATGTGGTGTGTCGAAAAATTGAGTTTGTAAGGATCGAACTTCTGTCTGTGTACTGAAGCTCAATAGAATGATGCAGACAGAAGGGTTGCTCCAACTACCTCTAATGTATGAGTGAAAAAAACTGTTTAGTCTTTTCCTTGAATGCTCACAAATAGTAGAAAGTTCAGTGATCTGTGCAAACTATTGCAGATAAATTTTATTCCAGATGAAACGGTTATAAGAAATAGACTTACTAGATCCACACAATATCTGAACTCTGTGTGATCTGTAAAGCAATCTGTCTGGTTAATGTCACACAATAGCTACAGTCAAAATTATTGCAGTCTAATAAATTACTGTGAGAGTTGCTCCTTGGCAATTATCCCTTAGTATAAGGAGTGGTATGATCCTTGTGTGGTAACCATGTTCCTAGCAGAGTTAATGCACCGTTAACTTCTTATCTCAGAGTAGTGTCCTGAAGCAATCTGTGCCTCCTCTTTCCCTTCAGTGAAGCAACAACTTCCATCCTGGCTGTACAGGGAGTGTTCAGTAGTGATGTGAACTTCCAAATCCAAGCCAGCAGATGTGCTCCCACTTGGTCACTCTCTCACTCCACCCCATGAGATGGAGGAGAGAATAAAAAGGGCAAAAGCAAGCAAAAATTCATAAAGGTGGTTTAATAATTGAGGGAAAGAAAGGAAGAATAGGAAAACAGTAAGACAGTCACTCACCACCTCCCACGAGCAGGCTGATGCCCTGCTAGTCTCCAAGCAGGGGCAAGTTTAGAAAAAGTCTGTTCCCCATCCCCCCCAGTTTTATTGCTGAACATGGCACTATATGGCAAGGGGTATCCCTTTGGTCAGTTCAGGTCAGCTGTCCTGGCTGTGTCCCCTCCCAGCTTTTTGTCCACCCTGAACCTACAACTGTGTGGTGGCAGAATGAGAAACAGAGAAGGCCATGACACTGTGCAAGCACTGCTCAGCAGCAGCTAAACCACCGGTGTGTTGCCAGCACTGTTTCAGTCACAAATCTAAAACACAGCACCATTGGGGCTGCTATGAAGAAAACTAACTCCCTTCCAGGCACAATACAAAGGCTTAAGGGTTTCAGGGCAGGGTATAAAGAGAAACAAATCTGTAATTAAATAGGATGGAAATTAGGCTCTTGCTAGTTCAGTACGTATAGAGAGCTCATCTTGAGTCTCTCACTGGCTATAGCAAATCTTAGTAAAACTGCCCTTAATGGCCTTTCTCATTTCTGAGAAAACTAGAATTGTTTGATAACTTAGTTATCATCCAGTTTCATATGAGTAATGCAGAAACAGACCTTATATATGAAACTGTATTAAAAAATGAATCCTGCTGGGGGGAGGGGTTATTGCTTTCAAGCTGTGAAATAATTTTCAACAGGATTCCAGTCAGCTTCAAATAAATGCTGCTTTTCTTCCACCAGCTTGCTGGAAAAGCATTACAAAACCTTAACAGGGACAATATGTGACTACAGGAAAAATATGAGACCTTAATTTCCTGAAGCTGCAGAGATTTAAAAGGCTTTGATCCCTTTCTAAAATAGATGAGCATAAAAGTACCAATTTAGCTCAGTGAGGAATAGAAGAGTTCTATACTTCTTGAAATGGTTTTAGTAGTTGATAATCATAGTATTTGCCTGCAGCATGTAATAAAACAGACCTTTTTCAAGTCATCTTATTTTTTCATTTTTCCAAGGACATAGAAGTTCTAATATTAGTTACTTCATTGTGAGTAGTTTTTATTGCTTGTTATTATGACAAGAGATAGGGAATTCAAATTCAGAAGCAAATAGACACCTTTTAAACTCTAGAATCAGCTGCTGAGTCTTTAATGCTTTTTGAGGGAGTTTGTTTGCTGTGGGATTTGGTGTGTGGGGAGTTTTGTTTTGGCTTGTTTTTGTGCTTGATGATAGTGTGGAAATTGATAGTGGGTGGACCACAAACAGTTCCTCACATTTAAGAAGATAAATTACAGCCTGTGCTGTTCCTTATGTTCATACGTTTAGTCCAGAATGCCCTACGAGTGACAGAGCCAGCAGAAAAATCTAACTATTAACGTCTCTAAATAAGTTGCCTTATTGGTCCTGTGTCTTAATTCTGGAAGTATTTTTGTGCCTTGCTGGTATTTGAGTGATACTTATTCCAGGGATAGTATATCCCATAGCAAAAAAAAATACAGCCTAAGTTAGGATGAATACTTTGCCCTACTTGAGTGGCTGGCCAATAACCCTGTTTTACATGTGTTCAGGATGAAAATGGAGTGAACCGTCCGGTGTGTTCCTTTGTCAGACCACTCCGAGCAGGCCGGTTGCTGGACACACCTCGGCAGGCAGCACGGTTTGTCAGTGTCCTGGGTTATGAGAGAGCTCCCGTCATCGGAGGAGGGGGTGGCAAGCAAGAGCAGTGGTGCACCCTCCTCTCTTTTTTATGCAGAAACAAGGTATGTGAAAGTGCCCCTTGTGTGACACAGCAGGGCAGGTATCATATTCTAACTGAAGTCAGTAATTTGAAACAGGCTGAAAATTCATGGATTAAATAAAATTTGGAGGATTCTGTTACAGTAATTTAAGTTCTTTTTAAAGACAGACATTAAATAGTAGACAAGAAGGCTTTGGCACAGACTTCCTTTACTGCTGTAAAGGGGTCCATTTGTCAGTACATCTCTGGCAGTGAGTTTGCTTTTCTTCAATTGCATTTCTAAGAACACATATAATTATTCGGTGAATCCCTGCTAGCATGGAGGACTAATGTGCAGGATTCACTGAATTCTTGACTAATCCAGGAAGAGTAGGAAAAGTCTCTTTTGCTGATTGTGGTTTGTTTTTGTTTTTGTTTTTTTTGGTGAGATGGGCTAAAGTATACTGACAGCATTTACGTTCCATTTTTTGCAAAATAGGAGTTTTCACTTAAAGTTTCAACCTAGTTCTTGATCTGATACTTATTATATTTATTACATATAACTGTAATAAATGAAACTAATTGTTACTCATTCAGGATTACAGTTCTTCTGTTGTATGGATAAAAGTAACAGTGATCGTTTTTAATACCTCTTTGAGGTGGTCAGTGCTTTTCATTGCAATGGAGATAATTCTGCCTTCAGAAATGATGTCACTGATGTGTTTGTATTAAAAAGATGTGTTCATGGAAGCAAGAGCTGTGTCACAGATTTTAGACCTGTCTCCCAAGACCACAGAACAGGCATTGGCTGTTGTCCCTCAATATCATATGATGCATAAGTACCATATAAAGGCAGCACTGGCTACCCACTGGCTTTCAGATGGAGATGACAATAGGGACTTCAAGTTTGAGGCACAGAGACAGGTGTTACTTCAAGACAGAGGTAGAAAGCTGTATAGAAAATAACTGAATTTAGCCCCTGAGACACAGGCTGGGCCACTATTACTTTTCTTGTGAACAGTGGTACGGCATTACTAAAATAACACAGGTTCGTTATGGACTTGTTCAAACCTATTTTTCTGCATATTTCCCTTGTACGCTACGATAGTGGAAGATACACCCAAGAACTCTGAATTTTACATTTTCAATATTCTGAATAGTTACTTGACTAAAGAGCCTTACTCTTCTACTTCTGAATGCTGTGCTTTGTGTTATGAAGCCTCCATTGCATAAGCAATTTTTGTTCTTCCTTTACAGCTAACATTTGTGAAAAAATTAAGAGACAAAGAATATTAGACATTACATTTGGAAATTGTTTTCTGAGAATTATCAGTGGTAGTAATGAGTTTATGAGATGCTTTTCTGACTGAAGGGAAAAGCAACTACACGTGACTTCCAGCTGGTTTTACAGTTAGATCTGTGGGGAACCTTGTTTTATCTTTGTTTCATTTGTCAACTTTGACAACACATTCAAGGTGGTGAAATAACAGTAGAATTGCATTTTATTAAGTGAGTAAATTTCCTAACTGTGTGAAAATATTTTGTAATTTCTAGTCTTGCCTCGGGTATTTGCCTGATATACATTTTTACATTTAATTGGAACATCAGTTTTGTCGTCATGGGTCGATAGATTCTCGTTTTGGGTTACTTGAAGGTGTCTTTATAGTTGTAGGAAATGTTTCCCAGTATTAATCATACACTATATTTGAATAAACTATATAGTCTATCATTACAAGATACATTTTTAACTGATTTATTCTGAAACTAAACTTTAGAAAGCTAAAACTTGTCAAGTTTAAACTGTAAAATCCTGCCTTCTGACACATGCTTTAGATAAACAGAAGAGAAACATGACTTGTTCAACTATTGCTAGAGAAATATCACCACCTTCTTTCTTTAAGGTTTTATCCCTGCTTGATACTCAAAACAGCTTGTTAATATTTACCATCTAGGGTGACTGCGAAGATCATTCTAACCTTCTGTGCAGTCTTCTTCTTGGGTTTGGATTGGAAGCCTTTGTGTGTGTTGGAACAAAAGCAAAAGGAGTCCCTCACACTTGGGTAATGACTCGTGGAACTGATGGAACAATCACTTTTTGGGAGAGCTTAACAGGACATAGGTGAGTAAAAGGAAAATAAGAAAAGTGAACAATGTAATTGAGGTTTGCATGGGCTATTTTTGTCGTTGCTTTTTTCTTTTTTTTAATCTTTATACCCTGTCGTGTAATACAGGTGACCTTTGTCTTTGACTTTTTTTCCTGTGTACTGCTTTTCTTGGGAAAAAATAACTGGTTCAGTGTGAGGGGAAATATTTCAACAGTTTGTAATATGGTTTTCAGTGGCTTTAAAACTGTATGCTAACCGTTCTGTGTCTTATGGCAGCTGAAAGCCATTGATGCTATCGCTGCCATTATTTATAAAGGAGATGAAATCTGACATGATTGTTTAGGGACCCTTGTTTTTCTCCTGATTTCATCAGTGAAATCAATGGTACATTACTTTTTTTTCCCCCTGCAGAAATCTCTTTAAGTTCTCTTGAGATTTTCTCTTGCTTAGTCATTTGAGAAGAGCACGCATAGTTCTTTGGTATTCTAAAGCTTCTAGGACAGGTTATATTCAGTGCTGAAAACAAGCAATTCTGTTTTGCCACTGGTTGTGTATCCTATGATTAGCATTTGAAGGTGTATTTCTCCAAATATGGTGACTAGTGGGGAAACTATATGTTGTTATAGTTGCAAAATTTAGTTACTGTTGAGAATCTGCTGGATTAATCAGCTTATTTTTTCTAGATTTAAAGAATAAAAATTACTTATTTTTTCATTGTATATTAGACCTCCAAAATGTGGATAATTACTTTTCTGTAAACGAATGAATGCCATTTTTGGAGAAAAAAAGAAATGTGGCTCGTATTTTTAAAGGAGAAGTGGTTATATCTGTCCCGTCTTAATATTTTTACCTTGCCTTGAAATATGGTGTATTAATAAGAAATTGAATCTTTTTGATTAGGTACATCCACAGACCTGTCAACCCTGATGACCCGCCGCTAGTTGAACAACCCAAGCCGCTGTATCCTTATCGCACAATAGGTTGTGTCTTCAACCACCAGAATTTCTTTGGGAATTGTCAGCCCTCTGACGCTGTGGACGTCTGTGTGTTTGACCTGCACGATGAATCTAAATGGAAACCCATGAGTGGAGAAGCCATAAAATCCGTATGCCCTCCTGGAGCAACATCTTCAGTTCCCCCTTTTCCTCCTCTGTGTGCTTCTGCGATAGATGCTGCAGTAACAAGCAACGAGGTAGAATTGCAGCTGAGAATACTGGTCTCTGAACACAGAAAGGTAAGAAAGATTGTCATTGATCTGTCACAGTAATAAAGGTCCACGTGTTAACTTGTTGTGGACAGACATTTCTTAGTTCACATACTCGTATCTTTGCAATGTGTTTTCCATCAGCTTTTGCAGAAATGTGGTATGTGAAAAGTGAAACAAATGAAGAAAGTGTTTGGAAAGATTATACTGAGCTGGTTTAGACATCATACTTATTATTTGCAGCGGTGATTTGTAGCCTCACGTGTGGGCTACAAACTACCTTTGAGTGGTCTGTAAAAGCACCGGGAAAATCTAATGTGTTTGTTAGTGGGCTTTGCCTATGCAGCAAAAATGTTTTTGGTCCCTTGATAAAAGCAGACTTTCAGCTTACTCTAATTGCTTTACAAAATCGGAGATATTTCTGGAAGTTAGTTTCATCCTTTACCAGGACTTTTGCAAGGCGTGATGTGCCAGAAGTGACTCTTTTCTGTGCTGGATGCGAAGGCGTTGATATTTTAAGTCTCTGTTAGCTTATGTCTGTTTTTAGTGGGGTTTTTGCATTGTTTTTGTTTTTCTCCCCACACAATGCTCAACCTTTGGGGTGGCAAGCAATTATCAGAGTATTGAGTCTCATGCGGTGTTGAATACGTACATGGATGGTAAATTTTTCTACTTCTTGGCATTTGTGGGCTGGTAGGAAGAAGGTGCATGTACATGCCTTTGTGTTTTGGGGAGCTGTTGTGCACTGTTTTTTCTATGGGAGACATTAAAAAAAGTGAGTTGAATTGTAGTTGATCTTTTCCATATTTTTGCTGTGTATTTATGCATATCTTCTTACATTTCATTCAGAGATACTGTAGCTGAAACATCTAGCTTCAACTCTGCTGGCCTGAAGTTTTAGTCTAGTAGTCTAACTTCATTCCTTGCTAAATGTATGATACTTTGTTGGTCATGTTTGATTCTTCCACTTGGTGTGTGAGTCAGTCTACAAATCGTACTGCTTCATGGGTTCACTGCTGTTAACTACCAATTAAAGATTCTTGTATTTATTTGAATCTACTCAGTAGGCAAGCTTAGGCATATCCTAATGTTCCTTCTACACAGTCGTCATCATTCTGTGGCTTGCCTCACAGGATCTTGGCCTTTCTACTGTTTGGGATGACCAGCTCTCCTATGTGTTGTCACCAGCATTAGCAGCCTATGAGCTTGAACGCACAACAGGTGTTTCTGCAGGAAATGAAGAGTTTCAAGATGCCATAAGAAGAGCAGTACCTGATGGTCACACGTTCAAAGGGTTTCCTATCCATTTTGTACACAGAAATGGCAGGAGAGCATTTGCTACGTGTCTTCGGTGAGTTTAAATGTAAAGTTTTTTTTTTAAATAATGAAATGTAAAGAAAGTTAATTTCCTTAGGTTTGAGCTGTAAGAAGAGTTGTATGGTATATGTAGTGGCTACAGAGCTTTTAGGTTACATTGGTGGTGAGTTCACTGATGATAGACTTCTTGTGGATTAAATTACAGAACGAGAAGTTAATTTAATTTCTTGGTACTTGTTAAAAATGGCAGTGGTGGTGTTGTTTTCCTCCAAGGCAACAGCCCCTGCACTATAGAATAATATTATTATTTGTAATGATAGGCTCATGAAACTCATTGTTACTTAAGTGTTAGTCATATTGGAAAAAAATTGCACTATGTAATTGAAAGCTTTAATAATATCTTACTCTTGTTTTTTTTTTCGTCATACAGGTCTCCTTTTTGTGAAGAAATAATCTGTTGCAGGGGAGACCAAGTGCGACTTGCAGTTCGTGTACGAGTGTTTACATACCCTGAATCTGCATGTGCTGTTTGGATCATGTTTGCTTGTAAATACCGCTCTGTCCTTTGAAAAAACCCGAAATTATTCATACCTTTTCAGATCTGCAAAATAATGCATGTGGGTATAAAGTTTTGCAATTGAAAACTAGTATTGTATTTTATATAAATGCCACTGATTTTGAATACCACAGTGTGTGTATTGAAGGGGATTGTGTACACAGTAATGATTGTATTTATAAAGAAAATTTATTATTCTTTGCAATAAAAGTTACTTTTCATAATTATAGGGAAGTGGGTCAATTTACTAAAATGTGTGCATAAAATTCTGGCTTCTCTTTTGCAGTTCTGAATTGGTGTGAGAGTTCATTTAGAAATAAATCTGGTTTACCTCAGCAGAGTAAGCAACTCCATTCTACCTCTCCTTTCCCTGTAGTCTCCACGGTATACTTTGAGAGTGACTGAGATCCAGTAATACTGACATTTAAGCATATGTGCTTTTTACAACAAAAATTTATTTGCGCTTCTGTTGGACACAGCAGTAACTTCTACATTCAGCTTCTGAGAACAGTTCAGTCAGACACAGGTAATCTTATTAATCTATGAATTTAGTAATTTATGGTTTTATTTTTTAAAATATATATTAAGACTTGGATACCTGAAGATGTGAATAGCTGTGATGGGTTAGATGAAGTGGTGCCTTTTTTCTGATGTTAGCTTAGGAAGTTTCTGAGATAGAAGTTGTAGCCAGACCATTTTGCTTGGCAGCCATTCGTGTTTTTGTCTAGTTCTGACACTCAAATCTGAACTTAATTACCCATTTGTGGTTTTGTCTGTGTTAAACCTGTGGATGATGATTTTGCTTAGTATCTTTTAGTCTTCATGCTTTGCGAAATGGTAAGCAGTTGGACTTACTGAACATCTCTATATCGTGCCTCTCAGATTTTTCACCATGTGGACTCCAGGAGACAGCCATGAGGCTGGAAGATCTGAAACTGTTTGGTTTCTTCTGTAGAAGCCATTCTGTGTCTGTGATAGCCCATAACCACCTCCTTTCATTCTACTTGTGTAAGAGAGAGACAACTCTTTCTGCTGGTGCTGGAGTAAAAAGAATTATTAACTAATTCTAGAGAAGCTTGTAGCACATACAGCAGGAGTGGATGTTGGCATTTTGTGTGTACATTTAATCAGCAGTGTGGTAGTGTGACACTGTTTTTGTTTTGTTTTTCAAGAAGTGTTAAATACTGTAGCACTGGGGTTTTAACTTGGAGTTTTCGTAGTACATTATGTACTTACTGGCCCTGCTGCTAACTTTACAAATCTGTTTTTGTGTTATCTTTCTTTTTATACCTTCAAAATGTATTCGTTTGCCTGTTACACAGCATACAGGATTTTTTTCATTGTATCCAATGTAACATGAAAGGCTGGATCATATTACATGGTGAATATCACTAAATTTAACAGCGTTATTTAAGTACTAGCTGTATCTTATATGCAGCGCTGTGTTTTACACACGTGTATGTCACTGCAGGAGGGAAAAAGCTGCGGCTTTTAGAAGAGCTGGAAGTGAAAGGGGATTGAGGAGCGGTAAGCGAAATGGGAGAGCAGCAGACTGGCTGGAGCCAGGCGCTATCCCGACTGTGCGACAGGGGGCACTGCTCCGCGCTGTCCCGTCACACCCTCCAGTCTCACGTGGAGCGGGTGCGAACATCTGAGGGGTAAAATGCTAAAGGGAAAACCACTGTGTGTTCGGTGTGAGTGTTAGGTTATTTAGTCTGTTTTTCTCCTCGTTTACCTGGGGAGAACCTTGGCACGAAGGGCTGTGCCCTTCTGGTGCCCAGGTGTGTTTAGAGGCAGGGACGCCAGTTCCCAGCTGCTTGGAAGACGATTCCCTTGTTGTTCCCTTTCCAGACTGATGGTTGAACTGCTGCCAGCCTTGCTGCTGCCGAGAATGGAGCTTTCCCGGAGGAAGTGTTTACGTTGGGAGGGCAGACCCTGGGACTCAAAGTGGTCCACCCTCCTGCTGCGAAAGCAGGGTCAGGCTGATAACGTTTCGCCGTGTCCGTGACGATGTGGGTTGGTGTCAATGTTTGACAGTTGGGGGTGCGGGGGAGTTGTTCGTTTCTGCGGGGGTTGTTACCAACACCCGGCGCAGAAAGAGCGGCCCGAGGGTTATGGGATAACACCACACTGCTGTCCGTGTCTCGGGCAGGGGAGGAAGCCCACCGTCTCGCCAGGAGATCCGAGCCCCGCTTGCCGTGGGAGCCCTGAGGGTGAATCCCGCCTTGTCCTTCCCCGCCGTAGCGGCCGGGGCCGGCAGGGGGCGCTGCGGCGCCGGGCGGCGGCGGGGGCGGGCGGGGACGGGACGCCATTGCGTTGCTATGAGCTGTCGCTCCCCCTGCGGCGGCGGCGGGCGGACCGGGCGCTGATTTTGCTGCTTGCTTTCCTCCCGCCTGGTTCCTGGATCCAGCCTCCTGCCTGCCTGCCTGCCTGCCGCGCGGGCCGGGCTGTCCGTCCGGCGGCCTGGTGGCACTAGCGGGGCGGGGAGGATGAGCACGGCGGGACCGGGCGGCAGCAGCACGAGCAGCAGCATCATCAGCGCAAGCAGCAGCCGCTGCCGCGGCGGCGGGGCCGGTCACTGAGCGAGTAGCACCGCGGCGGACGCAGGGCATGGAGCCCCAGCCCGGCGCCTCCCGCCCTGCCGCCGAAGAGGAGGAGGACGGCGGCGGCGGCGGGTCCGGCGGGCAGCCGGAGGCGCTGTCGCTGGAGGAGATCCTACGGCTCTACAACCAGCCCATCAACGAGGAGCAGGCGTGGGCCGTATGTTACCAGTGCTGCGCCTCGCTGCGCGCCCGCGCCCGCCGCGGAGAGACCCCCGCCGGCAGGCCGGGGGCGGCGGCCGCGCACCTCCGCGTCTGGCGGGACGGCGCCGTCACCCTGGAGCAGGACGAGCCCGACCGGCCGCCCCCGCCCGCCGCAGGTAAGGCTGGGGGTCCGCCGGCCCCGCTCAGCCCCCGGGCACAGCGGCGGCACCAGCCGGGGTCGGCCGCCCGTCTCCATCAGCCTTTGTCCGGGAGGGGACGGTCCTTCCCGCCGGACGGTCGCGGTGGGCGAGCGCTCGGCTCCTCGGCCGTGCCGGGGGCGGCGGGGGGTCTGGGTGTGTGTGTGCGTGTTTGTATTGTGTGTGTGTGTGTGTGTGTGTGTGTCCTTGTCCCTGCAGGATCTGGGTGTCGTGCGTGTAAAGGTAGAACCCGCCGCCTCGGATGCGGTCGCCTGCGTGCGGGCACGGGCAGGCGAATGCGGGTTCGGTGTTTTGTAATTGCGTCGTCTCTCCTGGTGCGTAATCCCGTGTCATCCGCGCACCGGGAGCGCCTGCTTCTGGGGCTCCTCCGGCCGTGCCCTGCATCCCGCAGGGTCTCCCGGAAACAGCTCGGCATCAAAAGGCACCTAATAGAAATAGATCGATTTAGATGTGTGCTGACATTAAGTAAGTGAGAAAGCCCTGTACAGGGGCTTAGCACCTACCATCTGTTTCGTTAAAATACCCAGGAAAGCGTATCTTGCGTTGGAAAGGAAAATGAGGGCGCAAGTCTTTTTCAGCATTTCAAAGCTTCTGATTATGGATGCGGAAAGCAGTAGTTTTTCTTGGAAGTAAAGCTTGATTTCTGAAAAGAAATTAAAGCCGGGCAGCAGAGGGATGTGGTCGGTTTTCATATACATGGTGATATTCCCCAGTAACAGCCTAGTTCACGTTAAATGTCACAGAGTTTTCGGAGGAGACAGAGGTTTCGGTATTTTAAAGTTGAGTGAAGCAGAAGGCAGTGGTAAATTCACAAAATGGGATTAATGGAGCCCTCAGCATTTGGAACACGTATATTATGCCTGGTGTTACAATTTAGTGAAGCCTTTTAATACAGTGCCTGTCTGAAAAGTCTTTTGGCTGAGATTTGCAGTAATACAGTTTGGAGCTAGAGGTACATGCAAATATGAAAATACATGCAGTGGAAGAAGCAACATAATTTTGTTCTACAATTGTAATGAGTCTAATAATGACTCCCATTTAAATGTGATCTGGTGTGCTTTTAAAATTGTTTTTAAAAATGAGTCTTTGTAATGTTACTTAAATGCCAGACCAACACCCAGAAATTCCAGGAAAATGCTTTCCTGACCAAGACATCTGCATGTCACAAGTGCATTGAAGAGTTCTGTATTGCATTATTGTGTGGTGCTTTTGCTAACAGTCTTTTGAGATGATATCAGACTTCTTCCTTTCTCTTTCCGACTGGAGGAAATATATTGGTTTACTATGTCTTTCCTTCTTTTTTTGCTTTCTTTCCTTGCTATTGATGGGCTTGTTCTATTTCCTCTTACCTCCTGTAGGAGGGTGTTGGATAAACCCAGATATAAAATTCAGGCCCCTCACTGATATCCAGCATTATTAGTTTATGCTAAAGCTACATGTCACATCTGCATTAGTGTTTGAAAATGTTTTAGTTAACATGTGCTAACTTGAGTATGTTGATACCACATTTAAATTTTTGGATGGAGGAGACCTTTTTTATCTTCCAGCCCTGTCTATTTTTCTCTCTCTTTTTTTCCTGTCTTTTTTTTTTTAACCTTATTATTGTATGCTTTATGTTGTATATTGGCTAACATAAATGAAGATAACCAGTCTGCTAAGACCTCCCAGGAAAGCAAGAGAGGGGAGCTATCCCAGGGAGAGTACCCCCTCTGGTGCACATAATAGAAAAGGGGAGGAGGGGAGTTTTCTGCCAGATGTCCCTAAACCATACTAAGTGATCCCGCATTTCCATCAGCCGCAGGCTGGTAGATGCCTGGATTTGAAAGGAGGCAGTAGTCCTTCTAGGGTCCTCTTCCTGCTCCTGGCCTTCCTTATCTCCCAAACTTTGAAGAGACTATGGAAATATGGAAATACAGGCTCACCCATCAAGCTTTCACAAAGGATTTTGTATGTTCTTTGATTTGTGAAACCTGTAGCAGGTTTTCACTGGAAACTGTCATGTAAGTGGTACAGTGAATGTTGGTAATTCACTATACTGAATATTGAGGAGCTGACAGTAGGCCTGCTTCTGGTTGGTATCTTTTGAAATGTTCCAGTTGTTTTCCTTATTGCTCATTGCATTCTCCTGAGGTGATGATTAATGAGCTTCCTGAGACAATTTCATCTTGAGCCTCTCGAATGGGTTTTTATTCTTAGCCTTCTGTATTCTGCTTTGTAGCAGTGAGAGCTTAGGAAGAACCATTGCACTGGTACTGTGTCTTGGGGAGCAGTACAGCGAAGCATAGGCCCTGAAGCTGTCTGGTCACATTAATTTTACTCCTGAGATATAAATTAGAAGTTTTCTTAAAAAGAAGTACTGATTATGTAGAAACTGATGGTAGTTTTCCAAAGCAGTTTCTTGTGAAACAGTTTTCTAGTTAATGCACAATACTTGAAATTCCAAGTAACAATATATAGAAATGGAAGAAAATGTCCTTGAGATAGGAAACAAAGATGAGTTTCGCTGATAGTGGGGCAGAAAAACACTGTTGGAGTTGAATCACTGTCCTTGACCACAACCAGAGACTGATTCTCAGATCTTTCCAGTGTTATCTGTGTGATCTATTAATATTTGGTCACCTTGTTAAAAAACCAAGATTTTGGTTAAAAAGAAGTAAAAATATTAAGGATGAAAATGCTGCTCCTGTATTCATTTTGATATAACCATTAATATTACCTGAATCCCTGGCAAAAGGAGAATCAGAAAGGATTCCTGCTAATTGTTTTTCTGCCTTTGTATTTCAGACAATTTAGATTTAAATGCCCGTGTCAGGAGGTTTGTTAGAGCAATAGGGGTTCTTCGAGTTAAAGCTCTGAGTTGTAAAGCTGTTTTGTTCTAGCGATACATAAAAAACGTATAGCTGTAGGTTGGTGCATAGGTTTGGGTAATTCACAGGAACAAATATTGGCTGTTAGTTTCTGTTTTAGTAAACAACAGAATCCTGTGTGGGCAAATAAAGGAGTCCCCGAAGAATGGTGTCTTTGGGCAGCGAACATTCGGGCTTTGTCTGGGATTGTGGAGAGCGATGTGATCAGTCACGCCTGTCAGTGGGGCTCGGGCAAAGTCAGGAGCAAACGCAGCCGTGTCACAGAGTTTGCTCTAGAGACGCACACGAAGTGATGTTTTTACAGAGCAGTGCAAACCTTATTGCTTTTTCAGAACCAAAGTAAGAAAGAAACATGAAAGTGCAAAAAAACCAAAGAGATGCTCATTGTGGTCATCTTAGTATGGATCATGGTAACTCTGTTACATCTGAGTACCACAGAAACTTGGGTTGCTTAGGAATACCCATGATGAAATTGGACATATAGAGTAGACTGTATTTTAACTAATGGATGTTTTAGCCATCTCTTTGTTACTTGCAATTTATACGAAAAGAGGTAAGGGTGGCATCTCGTGAAGTGCCAGATGCAATAAAAAATTACTTCTGAATGAGCTAAAACATTTGGGGTAAACGTGTGGTTTGACTTCCCTGAGCTCTCTTGCAGAACCACATTTACAATGCGCTTTTATAAACTTGGAGCAATAATGAAATGATAGATACAGGAATAGAAAACCCACACAAGAGCTGGCAATAGACCTCATGCCCAGTATTCAGTGGCATTAGGATACCTTAGGGCACAGGAGGCTATTTCATTGGCATTGAGCTGTTGCTGCAAGCTGCATAAGGGGCTCTTGCTTTTCAGTGCACTGGCTGTGCCACCTCCTTCCTGCAGGGCAGTTTTGGGCATAAGCAGGCTTAGTAAAATGAGAGTTTTCCCCACGTTTTGTTAGTGCCAGATCCCTGACTTAGCAAAGGCAGCCACTGATTCTGGGGATTGCACCAAGCTCCTTAGGAGGAACAGCCGTGAGAGTCTCGGAAAGGGGCAAAGACGGATATTTTGAATGCCAGGCTGGGCTGACTTCCATCCATTGGCTGTTGAGGACTGGCATGAATGTGGTGCTCCTCGGCCTTCCCTCTCTCTCCTGAGATCGCACCTCTGTGGATAGTGTCAGTGGCCCTTCTTTTGCCTTGCCCTCCAGCCTTAGAGGAAAAAACACAGAGGGAAATTACTACTGGTCTTATCGGAAGCACGTACGATGCAGATTTTTCTCTTGGCAATCTGCTGGATGTTCAGCAGGAGGGCATAATGAATAGAGTATTCTGGCTTTGAATCAAAAAGATCACAGAAAAGTTGACTGCATGGTGGCTTTCACGCGACTTGGAGGGCTGAGGGTGAGACATGCTGGAGAAGAATAGTTTATGTTTTCTTGGCAGTTTTAATGACTTGTGTCATTCTTACACCCTTGTGTGCCCAAGTATTGGAGGGCAGTGTGGAGAAATATAGGATGAATAAATGCAAATTCAGCTTGTGTGCATCAAGACATTCTCATCTCTCAGTTGCTTGTGGAGCAAGAGGAAAAATAGGCATGATTTTTTGAGGAAAATGAATGTACTGACACTTTCCTTCTAATTTTACTTGCCCTTTTAAAAAATGATGGATGAGAGTTGTTTTTCTTGCTGTTTCAAAAGAGGTGTTGCTATGAATAATGCTAGAATAAATAGTACCTCTAGAATGCTGGCTTAATTATACTCTGAATTTGGATTTAGTTCAATGCTACTCAGACACATCTGTATTTAAAAAATAGTAAGACTTGATGTATTGAGCCTCACTTTATCCCCCAAGAGTTTTAAGATAGATATCTATATAGGTATGTTAATGTTGTAAGTCAAGGTAGGAAGAAAATAGTACTAGACAGCACAGAGGAGCCTTGGTGAGTTGATGCTTTTATCTCTGGTTGCTCTACTGATCTGCGAAAAAAGAAAGCTTAGGCTTTATTTATGCCAGACTTTCTGTCATCATAGTGGTTCCCAGTACGTAAGTGTGAACTGGAAGGCTTCCAGTCATGGCTTATGCTGATGCATCCCGTGCACCAG